GGTGGGTTCAAGCTGACTGTCTGGCCTCTCCAGACTCTCTCCTCTGGCATCATAAGGACCCAGTGAGAATGCAGCCATCTTCAAGCCAAGGAGAAAAACTTCAGAAGAAACCAAATTTGCTGACACCTTGATCTTGGATGTCTAGCCTCCAGAACTGTGAAAAGAAAAATCTCTGTTGTTTAACCCACCCAGTTGTGATATTTTGTTATGGCAGCCCTAGCAAACTGATATAGTATCCTTTTCGTGGGTGGATAACAGTTCAAATTGCAGCTTCCTTTTTGGGACTTCTCTCTTAGGTAGATTGTATTGATGAGGTGTGAGGTATTGGGTGCCAAGGAGAGGAAAGAATCTTTCCAGGGATGTGTGTAACTCTCTGGGTCCCCTTTCCTGTCTTGTCAAGGTCCAGTGTCATTTATTCATTTGCCCATATTGCTTTCTCTTAGTCTTCCTTTAATTTGTGATTCTTATCCATAATACTATTGGATAACTGTATTTATTCATTTATTCCACAAATATTTATTGAGTGCCTATTAAGTGCCAAGCACTATTCTAGGTATTAGTGATAGTAGTAAATGAAACATAAAATCTCCTGCCTTCATGGAGCTTAACTTCTAGTAGCTCTAACTTGGAGTTGTCTTCGTAGAATTTCATAGTTTGCTAACTGGTGTTCTTATGACAATACTCTCTCCACTCCAATCCACATTTTGCATTATTCCCAAAGTAACCTTCTTAAAGAAGAAAATGTATCATATAACTTATAACTTATCATATAATCTTCTCATATAACTCTTTGTACTCCAATCCACATTTTGCATTATTCCCAAAGTAACCTTCTTAAAGAAGAAAATGTATCATACAACTTATAACTTATCATATAATCTTCTCATATAACTCTTTGTAAAAAAAAAATCAATTAGTGATTCCATATTTCCTCATAAATAAAAATTCTTATTTCTCAGTATGGCATTCAAGTTGTGATGTGGCTCTGAATTACTTGTTGGAGGTCTGCCCCAAATTAGGGATTTGTACCCTGTCTGGAAAGCGTATGCTTTGATTCTTTTTATTGCAGAATTGACATTTCAGGACACAAAAATACTTTAGCTGTAGAAAGTCACCTTATATTTATTCCCTATTAAATAAATACTTAAAATGTATTTAACTATTATACATGTTGCTTTCTATCCTCTGCTAGAAGTTGTCTGATCCTGCAACTCTGAGCCTAATTGTTTGCTCAGGTTGGGGGCAGATACAGAGTGGGTGTGTAGTCAAAGAAGGAACACAGAACTATGGGG